TAGGATACATGGTCGATCGTCCTGACTGCTGCCGGTGTCAAATCGAATTTGAGCCGGCCAGGTCAGCTGGGCATCAGGGGATGCCATAGCCAATGGAAAAATGGCTTGCAAGTCGTTAAAGTACCTGCGGCGCTGGGCAACAAGCCGCCGGGACACCTCGGAAAGATCGGAGTATTTTTCACGGTTACCACCCTCAAGATCTTGTATGCTGCGCAGACAGCGGCGTCGGGATCGCCGCACCTTCTCAATGCTCTGCTTGCCTTTTGCATTCTTTCGCTTTAGTTCTTCAAGCGCCTGTTGCTGTTGATGTAGCTCATCCTTGGCCCTGTTCAGCATTTTATTCAGAGCAGCAATCCGCTGCTCAGATGTGCTGGTGCGCTTGCACACATCCGAGAAGGACTCTCGCACCGCCATAGCTTTAGGCAGTCGGTGCCTGGCCGTATACTGGACAGCGTTCTTTGTGATGGCGAGCTGCTTGTACAGCGGTGCAATCTCCTCCGTCGCACATTCGCCACACAACATGTGCTTCGGCTTGATGCACACTTTGCATGGCAGTCTACGATTGTACTTGAGCGTATAGTCGTACAGGGACAGACCTAGATCCGAGTGGTCCATGTCGAGGCGCGTGCAGCAGCCTTCTCTCACAGCAGTCAGGAGGCAATTGATACAGACCTAGGCTAGGACAGCGAAACCCTAATATTTCACATGCAGAAGAGCTTCTTCTTGCTTCAATAATCAAAGTGCAACAACAGGTGTGGTAACAAAAATATTAAATTTTTGTAAAGCGAACCACGCATACACACGTACACTACGAGTATGTAGCACAGACTCAGAGTCACTGCACAGCTACAGTACGTCAGAGTGACGTCATTTTAGCTGATGAACAACACGTACATGTCACGTCTATTTTCGGGGAATTCCCCCGTGGCCCAGGCCCGCGCCCTTGCGAAAACACAGCAACAGACAGAAACATGACTCTTGTACTGTAATCTGTAGCGGCGGTAGTACATGTAGTTCAAAATAGTTTGTGAAAATCTCTCTCCAATACATAATAATTATGATTGTATAATTATAAGGGAGCTCTTGACTCTTGTCGTGGCAGAGATGATCGATACTCGAACTTTTAGCATGACCAATGCAGGGTCGCCTGATCGTGCGTCCACAAGCATTCTAGGCGTTGAACAGAGGGCATGAATCATGATGGCTGGCGTTTATCTTGTCCATTGGCATTGAGGCAGTCCACCCAGGCCAGGGACCACGTATCATTTCCCATCATCACGGGCACTGTCGTCGAAGCCACATGGATTAGGAGAGGCATGGAGGTGTGATGCATGGCCGTACACCGGACTCTGCTGCTGCGAGGATCTAGGACTACGGTATGCCCAGTTTGTGCACTCTGCGATGTTGGTCCAAGTGGATCGGATTTTTGTCACTATTCATCATGCTGCATGCTTGGCTGACGTATGAGTTCTGTACCGACTTGCAGCATTCCCACTATCGGTCTTTCTGCCCCGAAAGAGGACGGATTCATGACAAGTCCATGGCCAGGATGCGAGCTAAGAACGCTATTCAGTACATGGACAGTTTCAACCAGACCAGCAAGGCGCAACAAGTCCGCCAAACACTAAGAACGCGACTGCACTCGCGCTCCAGCGATGTGTGCGTTGCCGTGGTGACGGTTATGAGAAAGAGCCTGCCGGTACGCATGCAGTACCTGTTTCAGGTGCTGCACAGACTGCTGCCCGAGGTACTGGCCGACGACAGGGTGTCCCTGGTGATTGCCAACGCCGAAAAGGACCCAAGCTTGCACACTGCCCTTCGGCGATACGCCTGGTTCATTCCTTCATACCACATACCGCCCTTATCTTCAACCGGCAGTGTATTTCTGAAGGAGCGCTACGATTACGGACATGCCCTCCAGGCTTGTAGCCAATACAAACCGAAATATATCGTTCTCATTGAAGACGACACTGTACCGCTTCCTGGATTCTTCGACTCACTGCGATATCTTATCAAAGGTCCTTTGTCCACATATTCGTACTCTGAGAGTAGTAAATACAACCATCCGTGGGCATACACTAAGCTGTATTACCCGGAGAGATGGTCTGGCTTTCAAAACAAAGACATGCCGAATCTGATTGTCGTGTCGCTTCTGCTGGGTACGTTTCTTGTGGTTCTGGCCTACGTGTTGCGTGTGAAGGTGCCGCCACACAGCGCTGAGTACAGCCACCGTGGCTTGTGGATGTTCACGGTGCAGATGACCCTGCCGGCGGCGTTTCTTGTTCTCTCTGTCGTGTGGATGCTGAACCGGCATCATCTGGACAACTTGCGTCTGTACTGGCGTGCGCTCTATGCCGTTACGAGCCCTGCCGACCGGTGCTGCACACCGGCGGTCCTGTATCAGAGCTGGGCGGCCGACCAGCTTAGCCAGCATCTCATCTCCAGTGCGGGCAACCAGGCGTTTTCACCCGAGACTGACCTGGCGATCGCCGACTTTGCCGAGGCGCTCGGCTGGGTGACGTACGCCGTACTGCCTAACCTGGCCGCGCACCATGGGCGAGTGTCGACGCTGCCCAAGCCTGTCATGGACGATGTGTCTTAGAAAAAGAAGCTACGGAGTGTGCTGCACTAGAGTTTGCCACCGTGCTCCTAGTCTTCTGTTTTGTCCACTACTTGCAAGGTGGTCATGTGATCAGCGTGACAGAGTCCTAACCTTCTGTTTTGTCCATTACTTGCAAGGTGGTCATGTGACCAACATGACAGAGTCATAACCATCTGTACTATCCACTACTTGCAAGGTGGTCATGTGACATGACAGGAGTCACTCGGCATGTCGGTCTAGCATTGCACCGACTGTGTCGAACTCCTCACCGCGTACAGTGTCAGGTACGTGTGTGGACTGCGTGCTTTGCAGCTGATCATGTGGCAACTTGTCGTGCGACCAGTTTGACACACACGCATGCACGCGCGCGCGCACGCACGTGCACACACACACACTCACAGTGAACCTTGAACACCAGCCCATAATCAGGATGATAGCGGTGTCAGGCAGAGCAGAAGCGGGAATGTGTCTTCAAATCTCCAGGGCGGGAATAGACACGACCGCATACGCACACACGCACAAACAACCGAAACCAGTACTTTATGTTCCGCAATGTTGTGGATGCTCTTAGTCTACATTGTACACTACAACACTGGTACGTTACCATTGGTTACCGGGTCTTGCCAATGTGCACCGTGTACTAGCAGAGCCGTGGACAAGATTCAGAGTTTTATTACATTATTAAAGTACTCAGTGGAGCGCATCATATTAAAATTCTATTAATTTTACTTTAAGTACGAAATCAACAACTGCTTGAGGACCCGAAAGGAGAGAATTTACAAGAGAGAGAAAGCACAGTACAACTGTACATTGTACAGTAGGTATCGGTTATAGCGTGGGTGTTTGAAAAACGACTTTCTATTTATATTTCCGATATTTCTTTTAAAAACACGATAAATCAAGTGTGACATATCATGTGCATGTGCGCAGAGGCAGGAAGATCATCGTACATGCAATGTAGTGTTACGGTGCATGCCGCTGGTCATAGTCACATAGGCTTACCATGTGGCTATGCAACATGAGTTACATGACCACAACAGTTGAACCTGCAGCACTACGACCCAACGCGAGTCAGATCGGAACTGAATTGGACGGATATTATTACTATAGGCGATATACTTTTTTTTTTGTACTAATCTGGTATGTTTTGCTACACAAAGTCCATTCTTAGGACCGATATATTCTACTGTACGAAAAAATTGCTGGTAAGAATAAATCCATGTTATGATTATGAAAACATGAGAGCTCATTCTTGTAGGCAGTATATTCTTTTACACGACCACGCTATAACCGATACGCACTGTATTGTAATTTGTTTGTACTTGAGACAGCCGAGCGGTGTCTCCGGCCGGGATCCTCTCTACATTTACTGTGTACCTAGATTACTGGCACCTGATTTCTGGTCGTAGATTTCTGGCATCAGCATCTTGCCATTAGAGGTACATGTGTATTCGAAGTACATTAATTTTGGTAACAATCGCTGTTTTTGTTTTGTTTTGTTTTTCATGAAGCACTCCCATTGCTCAATCACCTATAGGGTGTGTCCTCAATTGACAAATGTGCTTGCTCTGTTTATTCATTTTAGTCTGTTTGTAGCACAGTTAGGTAGGTATTCACTATTCAGGCCTCTGGCAAAGCCCTTTACTATTTTCTTTGTACCCGTATTTGATCCGATGGTATGTCAATTCCAAATGGAGCCAACTGCAGTGCGGAGATCATCTACCGCAGGCCGCAGTGGTTGAAGAAGAGAACGCATGGGAACGGGGGATAATGAAGCAACTATCCACGACTGTGACGAGATCATAAGCAGTCAGAACGTCACTAGTCCTAGGGCCCATTTGAAATTTCTCACTTTTACTTGACACATGTTTGCTAACATAGATTTTATGATCATGCCTGGATGGTGTTTGCCTCCTGAACACGATGGCATAGGTTTCGATTGCCGAATTGTGTCCGAACATGGTGAAAAACATCAAAATAGAAAAGGCCGTTATTACCATGGCAACCCAACTAGAATTGCTCCTATATCCATTTTTACTGACACGTATATGGCCAAGTAGCACCTCATTTTGCTCAGAATAAGCAGTAGATACAGTACGGCAACAAGTACTGTACTTTAACAGTGTCAAAACAAAATTTCCAAAGTGCAGTGAAACTACTTGGCTATTGGACATGTTCATGTACATTTACATGTCGCGTCGAATGTTAGCATTGAGGTACGTGTACATGCATGTGCAGCTAGCAGGTACATGAGACTATTAACAGGCATGCATTACTATAATTATCAGACTGCAAACAGGAGAGAAGCGTCAGACGGTTCGGCGTTACACTTCAATTGAGAGAATAGGTATTGTAACCCAAATACTAACAGGAGAAGGAAAAGGTGGTAGGAAACTGTCAGAGTCTAAGGAACGAAGTGCTATAGGACAGTTTCAACCTGAACTAATTTACTCGAAGTACGTGTCGATAATACGATAGATCTCGCAGCAATGTAAGAAGGACAACACTACTTGTATGCGATGGCAGTGCTGTAACGAAAAATGATGAAAATGAAAATACCAAAATCCTTTGCATAAAACAGTCCAAACATTGGCTAGCTTGTCACCCTGGTCCCTATACTTAAATGCTTTGAAAAGACTTCAAGGCTGCAGTTGGACAACGCTCACATGTGAATAGCTGCAGTTTAAAAAGCTGATCGATCCCAACATTGTGATGCGAATACTTTCGCTTCCATGTGTTTCACTTTAACTGAAGTTGTTCTTCCGTCTGAGCTTCGGAAACTCTACGCCGTACAGCTGAGCCCATCTCTACTCCGCCACCTACACCATCACTGTTGGCTCTGCAGTCAGGGACAATTCTTTAGCCACTAGTTCATGAGGTATTACATGAACATGTTTTCCCTCTTCACCACCGCTTTTGAATCGCATCAACTACGTGCCGTGATCAGTTCAGGAGAGACAAGCCATGACATTGGACATCGGACTCTTTCTTGCAGTTAGTGTTTTATAAGTATAACTGTAGTTTCACACTGCCTAGGCCCAGCCTTCAAATTCTGCGACAAGGAAATGATTCTTCTACTGCTGGTGTTGCATATTGGGATAAGTTACCTCCAGGTACTCGGATTTCGTTTTTGTAACACTCCACACCACATAGCTACTCCCTCTCACTGCAGCATGGCACTCCTAAGGCAGTTGTCCTAGAGCTGTTGAGCTGGTAAATAGGCTTTGTGATAATGGTAGCTGTTCACCACGGTCGGTGTGTTCGAATTATGGTACTAACACCAGCCGCTCTTGTAGATTCGAATCAAATGCTCGTCCACTGTAACACCTCCTGTGCAGCAGTACTCATAAAGTAAATGCCTTCATTCCAGCCCGATGAAGTTAGCCAGGTCTGAAACTTTCCACGGTTGTGGATTAGTCCTACGAATAGTTACAACTGGCTTGGCAAGCTATGATGACTTTCCCCTGCTTTCCACACATAATTGTTGTGCTGCTCCTTGTTGGAATCATGCCTACTTTTCCGGGGAGCCAAGATGACATTGTAATGAAGGTTCTGCTGAATTCAGCATCGATCCATTCGTGGACGTTCAGACAGCAAAAGCACCAGCGAGTCAATGCAAAACTTTGAAGAAAGTGTCCAAACGAGGTAACACATTTCTGGTATGTCACAACTACACTACTTGATGCTCAATCTTTCCAACTCTCGCACAAAATCAGTGTACGCGTCGGTTCGCATCCTGTGTATGTACGGTGTTACTATAGCTCCTGGCACATAAAAGGGTAAAAACTCCCAGGTCCAGTCAATATAGTACCGAGAAAGTCTTGAAAATGCTTGAATATAGCCGATGAGAACTTAGTTTTTTCGGCAATTTTGTATTCCTATCGAGGGTGATTTCGGGACCTTTGGACGCGATTGGACACGCCATACTGGGCCAAGATACTCTTGAAGACATTATCTATCAAATAACACCGAAAAATCCTTGTTAGCCAACATGTGTCAAGGCATGTATTTTAGAGGTCGATTTTTTGAATTGGCCCCAGTACTACACGTGCGATAACTCGTTCCCATGATGTGTTTTCTTCTTCTATTTTACATTGAACACTGGCTCATTATCCGAGTTCAAAAAAAATTGATCGTTTCTATTGTGCGCAGGCCAGGAAGGTAAAATGACTCCACAAATTAATTGTGTTTGAAATCTGTAAGGTTGATTTCAGTCAATCCCCCAGAACAAGGCTGGGTTGTCACTTCCCTTGAATTGGATATCAAGGTATACGTACATGTATATCTGCTTGCTCATTATGACTGAGAACTTTAGCTTTGTGTGCATGTGCGTGTGTGTGTGTGTGTGTGCGCGCGTGGGTGTGTTAACACAACAAGGAGAGTCACTACAAACAAACAAACAAAAAACAGTGAAACTAGAACCTGAAGTCCGAGAAATTCCCGGCTTAGCTTTGAATTCATTGCACAATACATCCAACCACCTCTTCAAAATACATGCACTACCTGTACCAGGTAAAGTTAGTGAAGTCTAATTGCAGTACTGAAAAAATTATAGTGGAGGTAAATGCACACACTAGACACCCTTAGCAAACAACGGTAACGCTATTTTTTTTACGGTACTCGTACCTTGATCACCCAAATAGCGTTGAAGCTGCAGCGTATAAACGTTATGGGGGCTGATTTATCGTTGTGACCAACGGTACGTGTTTTGGCCAAATATTGCATAGTTTGTACGCATTTCACCTTGTATCGCGTATATGGTGACAAAAATGGTTGTACCGGGTGAAATCAAAGCTATTCTCGTGGCAACAGCGTACTAAAAATAGTGTGCATCTTGCTAAAGGTCGAACCCAAATCACGGTATTTTCCCCCTTACGATAATACCGTTACAATGTAACGTTTTTTGCTAAGGGTGTCTATTGAGCAAAAATAAATGTCCTATGCCACAAAAGTTATTCTCTAAACCCTACAATTCATGATTAGGGAGAGAAACGGACTAATTTTTCTGCATCTGTAAAAATTACAAAAAAATGTACAAAGTGTAGGGCAGCTATAAAATTCCAAATAGTTGAATATCACCGGATATCGTAAACAGCATCAGAAGTGTCTTTTGAAAGATTTCGCTACTGCACTGCCTCATAATAAAACTGACAAAAAAATGCACCCTAGTTTGGTATTTCTACTGGGAATGAAGTGACAACTAACAGTGTTCGCATGTATAGCGGCTACTCAGTGGTGGTTAGGCTCTACTCTATTGCGTACGCAAGACGTGAGAGGTCACGGCCGGTAGATAGGGAGTCCTGTGCCAGCAATCTATCCGATGATCAAGAAACGCGGAGTGCTGCCGTCCTGCTGCTGTGTCTGTTAAGTGACCACTCGCTACTAAAGCACATCATGGGTCCGACGGGAAATGACCTAGCACATGTGATTGGCCCGCATACTGTACACAACGTGGCGATGAGAACGAATCGGAAACAGTGCACACAAATGCTGGTGCTTGTTCGGACTGTTTTGAGAAGGACTTGAGCCATTTCTCATTTCCCTAGACTCGGCACGGCTGTTTGCGTTGCGGCATACTGTCATGTATGTGCCTGGAAACAGAACATGCAACGCCCTAGTCCCATTCATCATCGTTAACACCTTCGTTGGATTCGGATGGCAGCTGGTCGGCGGCCTTGGACTGCTTGGCTGCCATTAGATTGTCCGTCCAGGACTTCCCAGTGGCTGCTCCACCCGAATAGTTGGTGATGGCGCGTTTCTCCACCGTGTCAAGCAAGGCGAACGACTCGATGAAAGGACCGTTGGCTTTCGTGCGGATCTACAGGGAATAGAACAGAATATGACAATACATCACACCATCTACACCATAGTCGTAATGTTTGTCTACACACACATTGTCATATTGTCACAACATGTACTGGAGTGATCGGGCACACCAGCACATTCTTGATGACATCATACCATTCTTGATGACATCATACCATTCTTGATGACGTCAGAAGTTCAGAACACTTGTGATCACATCATACCACTGTTGATGGCATTTGAATAGTCGTGATGACAACAGAACATTCTTGATGGTATCAGGACTCTGTAGGCTGTAGCTTGGGTATTCACTGCATGCCGAGGAAAGCGGTTTGTTGTGAATGAAGGCGGTGGGACGAGAGAGAGAGTCGGAATCGATAACTACTCAACCGCTTTCATCCTACTGCCATGTGTAATATGCTCTCTGTAGCCGTCTACTAGTACAGTTCTGTTCAATGAAATCCGATCATGTGAGTCTATGTCACGATGGGCCGCAGGCACTGTGCAGCTTGTGGCTGTGGACACTGGGCTGTGCACTGGTGCAGGCTCACGTAATCGGATTTCATTGACCCGGCAGCACTGTAAAACACAAGCGTAGGATTGGCTCACTATACAGTGCACAAGCGCAGGGCATGGGTTGATTCAAATGGCAAAATCATAAGTTTTTGTTCGTTTGTTTTTGCATTGAGCAGATCACCAGCACATGTGACGTCGCTCAACACACACCTTGAGCCGTGAGTCTGAGTGAAGCACTGAAACAATCTCTACACAAGGGCAGAGTGGAAACTTGAAAGGCAGCTGCACTCACCCTCAGACACTGGCCTGCCTCCAGAGCAGTGTCCTTGATCGAGTCCTCGGCCAGGTACAGCACAAAGCAGTTGGCTTGGCGTGGCCGTGACCAGGAGTCCAGGTCAGTTTTGCTCGCGATCAGTTGACACACCTGCACGGCAAGGTGACGAGCATGCAAGCAGTTACAGTACACGTACAGACAAGCAAATATTGTATGGTCAATCATCCCGGGTGTTCCTTATACAGGCCCGTCGCACCGACTTTGGAGGTGGGGCGGCCATGGAAGGGGGGTCGGGGGGTCGTCCCCCGGGAAAAATTCAAAAATTGAAGCCAATTGCAAGCATTTCCGGGTATTTGGTGCCATTTCAGTGTACGGTAACTACAATGAAAGTCTTTTTGATTCTGCAGCAAACGAAGAAGACGCTACGATCGGGGACAAACATTACCCTCCCCCGGGAAAATAATTCAAAAATTGAAGCCAATTGCAAGCATTTCCAGGCATTTGGTGCCATTTCAGTGTAACTGCAATGAAAGACTTTTCTGCAACAAACCACGATCGGGGACAAGGCCTTAAGGATTTGTCACGTTTGCGCTAAGCTGCGATCATTGTGCTTTGTTGTAATGTGCTCGAGCGCTCAAAAAAAAAAAAAAAAAAAAAAAAAAAAAGCCGAAAAAGTGGGGCGGCCTCAGCCGCCCCGGCTGTGACGGCCTTGTTATAGACAGGTTGCACTGTACGTTGAGGTATGGTCTGTGCCCTGAGATGATCAGTGGACCAAGCTCCCATCTCTTTTAAAAATGGAAAACACTTTCTCCCTGTATTAAATCCAAAAGCGGAAGATAGCTTCATACGGCCGCGGAATGAGTTTTCCCTGAACGAGGGAGTGTGCGTGCACTCACGTGGCGTGTGTGTGTGTGGGGGGGGGGGGGCGTGTTTTGCATACATGCAAGCAGATACTATGAAAGAACGAGGCAAAGAGAGGGGGAAACAACGCACACTGACAAAACTGCCATCAGTACCATCTCCTTACCTGAGAATAGGATAAGGTGTCGGGACTCCCGTCAGCCACCTGGGAGAAAGAGAGAGAGAGGGGGGGGGGGGGGGGAGCAAACGTTCAGCAAGCTGTAAGTAAAGTAAAGTAAATTATCGTGTCCGTTCCCAAAGGGAACTCACGATGGCCGCTAACACCCGGTAAACCCTAGCGGCAGATGCAGATGTAGTTCCTAAATGAACCAGCTGAAGATGTATCTACCCCGTAAATAGATCCTCAGGCGAATTTTACTGGTTCGTTTTTATCCGGATCAGGTATGGAGGTCATGCGCTTACACCATCAGTTGAGACGCTTTGGCAAAGTTGTGCCACAGCGATGCACTAGCAATTCACTAGCGACTCATGCTGTATACATAGCACCAAGAGTAGATAAACAAGAGTGTGCAACTCGCGGATGGGTAGGCCCACGGCGGAATTTTTTGTCGACGTAATCTTTTCGACGACGCACGCGCTGCGAGTCTTTCGGAAAGTTTTCCCTCGTGCTCTTGGCCGGCTTTACACTACAAGGTCCGTGCCCAGCACGTGCTCTCACACTGCTCTGCGGCGAAATGCGCGTTCTTCTGAAAAAAGGTGACGTCAACAAAAAATTCCGCCGTGGGCGGGGTATCTGCAGATTGGGCAGGAGAGATCCGGAGTTGCACACTCTTGTAGCTACTCTTGATAGCACCCATAAGTGGCTCCGCTGACTCATGCTGGATGTTTAGCGCTTATCCGCGGTTCCGCTAATTCGTCACAATGGCATCATTTGAATAACCTCTATGCGCGAGGATGATTGTGCAGCACTCGTTTCTTTCGCCTATGTTGGCCCCCTGTTATTACACCCTACTACTTATCCGAGAATGGTGCGCCATCGGTGTGTTCGACAAATGCCTAAAGATGTCCCCGTTTTATTTGACAACTGATTGCTTCAAGAATGTGTCGTAATGGTAGTATTTCAGTACACGTATTACATACTGTTGTACCTTTTTATAGGACGAGTTCAGAAATCCACTGTTTTGAAGCTTGGTCTTGCCCAGATTGGGTTCAACTTCTTGGTTGAATTTGTCGTATGTACGGCGTGCAGCAGACTTGAACTCGAGATGCACGGCCCAGTATCGATATCGCTGCTTCTTAGCATCGTCGAAGTAGTGCTTCTCGTGCGCTTGATAGGCTGCTTCTAAGATGACACCATGCGGTGCCTGGTCAGAGGGGTCGTTTTTGGACGCAGTTTCTTCAGTGAACGTGCCTTGCCAGTGGTGCTGCGCAGTCGACCCGCTTTCCAGGGGTTTGTCATCGTAAAGCATGTGGGCACGACTCATATCGACAGTCGGGTAGGAGGAAAACAAGGTAACTACGATAGACAACAACACCACTACTTCGTCTTTATGACAGTCACTTGTTGTAGATCGACTGTATTTCTTGAAATGATTGGTGCACCACGGCACTATTGACGTGACCATGGTGACAGGCTTTGGAGTATGCAGCTATGCTGTTTGCAAAATGACGGGTCGGTGCATGTACGTAAACGGTCAGTGCTCTCTTTGAAGCGTGCATTATGTAGTAATAGTATGTACTATCACTACTACAGTACTAGTCTATGCACGTGCCGTGTCATGTTACCTACTTTTTATGAGCAACAACAACATGACATACCTGGTAGTCATTGTGGAGGACATGTGAAATGTCCTGGGTGTCTACCAGGGAGTCGTAAAATACGGGTATTTACGACTCCCTGGTGTCTACCGAAAAACGTGTTCTACAGACAGGGTGTCCATGCACGAACATGTAGATCAGACTCAGAGTTACACGGGGGAGTCAACCATGGACAACTCCCTCATAAACGTCAGGAACCCCCAACTTTTTGAACATTCATGATTCAAGTTATGGACTGATTCTTGCTGACATGCAAATAATTCTGCGGCAGTACATCTGGTAGATCTATGGTACAGAAGGGTACTTTGAAATACATGTAGCCTTGTAGGTGCAACATGATCGGCCACCATGACGCCAACACAACGAACACTGGCACTAACGTAACAGGCCATGGTCCAGCCACTGCAGGGACGGCGTGTCAGCGCATATTAGTCTAGATCATAACTCGAATCTTTGCATTGAATCTGGCAAAAAGAAAAACAGCAAAGTGGTACTACTAATCACTGAATGCAATGATTGCTGATAGGGCTAGCTCATTCTATGTACTGTACTGGTAAATAGCCTGAATACTCAACGGCGGCTCAGTAGTAATCTCTGAAAATAATCTGAAAGAAAAGTAAACTGCATAAGACGACCGGCATCATCCTCTATTCTCCTGGCTGCACGCTCAGGGATGACCCTAACCGGCATTAGCAGCGGTACTGTACCAAAATCGACTTGCAAAGGTAGCACATGCGGAGCAATTCACGCCAAGTTGCACTTGCAATGCCAACAAAGAAGAGAATGCTGCAAAAGATGCCAGCGCATGGACGTCAGAGACACGAACGTCTCGCCGTGAATGGACATGCAGTTTTTCGCCAAGAGCCATGATAAATCGCGGCATACTTGCATGCATAGTGGCCATGCCAGTCTGCAGCGGACAGATGCCGCCGGAGATCACTGATGCACGGAGGCCATGCACACTGGAACAATGTCATGTACATCACGTAACAGGTCCCTGGCTCAGGCTGCCCGAATATGCCTTGTCGCAAGTTGAGGGACATCTATATGTAGCTGTACAGCTGAGCATCTGCATGCGGCAGCGCGGCAGCAAAGATCAGCTCATGCACGCATGTGGGCATTTCCGCGCGATGTCTGCGAGTATGCTTACACCAGCCCGGAGCTCAGCCGAGTTGTTGCCGGACGCCATGCCCAACGCGAGAGTCTAAAACAACGCTTGCGTCCTCCGGCAGCGTCTACATCAACTAACTGCCTAAGTGAAAGTTGTAAATCAATAAAGACAAGGTCATCACTATCAACATCAGCAGCAGCTTGAAAAGTCGTATCTCTATGCTGAAGTTGTCGCAGTATCGGATGGTGCCGCCGCTGTCGTCGGCGACGCCGTAGCAACTGTTGTCATGGGATGTTCGGCTTCAGCGACTGCCTCCTCGTCCGACGCCATGAGCTGCCGGCGACAGGTCTCCGAGGCGATGAGCGCCAGCGTCAGCATGATGGCGCCCTGCACGAAGCTGAGCGTGTGCAGATGCTCGGAGCGGTCCACGTCCACCGTGCTGTTGCCCACCGTGTGGCGCGGCAACGAGCACGACAGCGGCTGACTGTGTATGCACAGCGTGAACGCCGCGAACAGGAGCGCTCGCACGATCCTGGCGGCTAGCATGTGTCTAAGGTTGGTCACCTCCAGCCAGAAATGTCGCAGAATGTAAATGACGATGATGACCACATATCCCAGCCAGTCAACGATCTCCTCCGCCTTTGTGCACACCGTCGGGTCATTCTGGTTCGACGCTCCGTCAAACAGTTTCAGCAGCGCAGTGTAGTAACCCAGTAGCATCATGTCCTTGTGATCGGCGCTGAAAATGCTCACCAGTGCGCCAGGCTTGGGCGACTGTGCGGTGCCCGCGCCCGCCGTGTTCGACAGAGGTTCATGCGTGGCGGCAGACATTATCGCATTCGTCGTATTCGGAGCAGATCTCGAACACTGCTCCCAATCAGCAACACTCCAAAAGGCCCGTGCAGCAAGATGGGCCAACAGCGACGTAGATCTACCGTAACCTGGTACCTGAAAAGCAAGAACGTTCTGCAACCCACCGACGGAGAGAGAACTGAGGCTGCGTTCGCTGGCAGTTTCCGTACTACTGTAGTTTGGCCCCCGACAGCGCGCGGCTGCTTTTGCCGTCAAGGCCGCTGGCATGTACATGTAGATCTACTGTCTGCACTGACATCTGTAGATCAGGGAGTCGTATACCCCTGATCTACATGCGTAGATGTCTACACTAGCACTACCGCCCGGTACTGCGAGTGTGACGCTTGTGACGATCCACGCTTCCCTGGACACAAACAATGCCATGGCCGTGCGCCACACTGCCATGCACAGACAGACAGTCATCGGATCATGTGCACTACACAAACAATCACTTATATTATCCATGAATGATGGCATTGATGCGTTGATCATGTTGATTGCGGATCGGAACCTCCGGTTGGACTCGGAAACAATGCAGAACGATCTGCAGCAGCAGCTGTAAAATCCTTCCAAAACCCGGGCATGGCCTGGTGGCAGCGGCCATGCCTGCCTCGCCATGCTCGGTCATGCAGGAACGGTTCTGAAAACCAAAAAGCTACTACTACTGCACTGTACTAGTAAACGTGGCTGACGTCTTGAGTTTAGAGTGACGGCCATATGAAAGAACTGCCGACGGCCCGTCATCGACGATTAGGCCTTTGCGGATGATGCAGGCAGAACTTTTTCTGGTATTAAAGTTTCATGCATGTTTGGTATGTGCATAAAGAAATGGAGCAGAATTCGAGGAATTGCTCGCCATAAGGTTTGTATGGTTCTGCCAATTTCACTGCTTTTCGAGCAGAATCTGCCGCCTTTTCGAGCATTATCCGCCCATGCCTATCGACGATACGAAGATTGTGTGTCCTTTCAGTTAACTTTGTCTTTGAGTTTGAGTCTTTCAACGGTGGGCCATGGGGGGGGGGGGGGGGGGTGCTCTGACTCTGTAAGTCTGTTGCCAGCGGTGATACCTACCGCCTGATTCTAGGAAGATGCACGCAGTCGCAGGTGCCGGAAGAAGTGTGCCAGGTGCTGGCATGATTATTTTTTACAGTGGGTTCTGAATGCTGTCTTGAAAGCAACTGTCCACGTCTGCTTTGTATACTACGCCGAGACTACGGTCTAGTGCCAATGGCCCTTCCACTAGTACTAGTACAAGTAGACTTCTCTAGACTCTACTACTGCTGCATACTGGTCTCCTCCTTCACACTGTACAAGACTTAGTATTCTCCAAAGACCGGTTCAAGTCAGTGCATTTCCTTCTTCCTCCTTCTTTCGCACCGCGTAAGTATGAGTAGATAATTGCATGTTAGCAAGTCAGCTAATCAGTGGGACCATTGTCATTAGGTTTAGGCCTGTTTTGAAACTCCACTCTAAATAAAGCCAAACAACAACAAAAGCTAACATGCCGCGATCATCATGATCATACAATGTTTTTTTGTTTTTTTAATTAACTTGGTAAACCGGCCTCTTGTACGGGCAGAATTAAGTAACACAATGATACAATAAAAACAAGTACCAGTAGTTACATACATGGACCATACGAGAAAAAGCAATGATGACGAGGCATAAACAAGTGTCTAGTGCTGTATGGCAGCTTGATCATACAATGTAGTAGCAAAAGTATTATAAGCCTGGGGGTTACTGAGTATTCTACTCTTGATACCGTTAGTAGCATTATAATTAGAACGTTACGACTTATGTGTGAGTTATGGCCAACGCTTTTTGGAACTAACTATTACTTGACCTGGGTGTCCACCGGACGTTCAAGTGGATTTCAGGCGTCAGCTACCCAACCATTGCCATTTGCGCTGATTTCCTCACCCACTTGAGACTTCAACCTGACTATCGACCTCACTGGACGATTCCTCAAGGATGTAGTACTAGTAGTAGTAGTTTCTAGGGACCGGCGGATTGGGAAGGGTATTGATGGTATTGATTTATTTGAATTCGGTATCTCAACAGTACAATGTACAACTTGGGAAGATCCGAATGACATAGATACATACATGTAAACATAAAAGTGGAGGTGCTACAGCTGATCATTTTATCGCAGGTTGTGGGACTAAACTAATACCAGTATGCAAGTACATAAGAAATAAAAGCTGAATAAATACGACTGCGTGACATTGGCAGGGTCCAGCGGATAATGCCGGCATTATATTCGGCATTATACGACTATTCGAGCATCGGAGCATTATGGAGCATTAGAAAGGAACAAAACGAGCATTATGTGAGGTATGAGCGGCATAACGAGTTTCATAGTGGATAATATCGGGAAATCCCAGGTTTTTGGCAACAATCGGCTACAATCATGATCATGAGATGTTGTCTGATGATTGGTTTTTGCCATGAAACTGAGTAACAACGAAACAGCCCTATTTTACTCCTTGTGTGTACCTCTTGCGTACTGCGCTCCGCCCATTCCGGGCATTTGAGCACTATGCATTGTACCGGCGCATGACTTTGTGATTGGATAGTGTGTAGACACGTAACACATTTAGCACTAACGCTACATAACTATTGCTACATAAGAACGTTATGATTGTAGCGATGTGGTCAGGTAAATGTATACAAGCCATTTGTGAAGCATGCCCATTGCCCGACCGAGGCCGAGACAGTTCAAGTGGCACAAATCCGGAGAAATTATTTACGAGGTTTCTTTTACTTTTAGAATAATGGAGAGCTATGGAGGAGACATACGCGAAGTGAATATCAAACAGACGAAGAAGAGTTTTCTAGTTGTGCCAGAGGCTCTGGCGATAGCATCTCTAGCGATACTGAAGTAGACACTGATGCATTGCTATATTTGGACCAGGATGAAGGAGCGGCTATAAACAGAAAGAGCTCGTTCCAAAGGAACTGTCTTTGCTGAGTCCAGCTCAGGAGGCTCGAAAAGAACTAGATCTTCTCATGGACTCAGTACCAAGTCGATTGCTCAGCAGCGCCTGTCTTACTTTCCTCATGAAGCACGTACAGTTAGTTGTGGATGGTTGTAATGCCAGGCCTACAGTCAAATGCTATCAGAAAGGAAGAGTATTGTGGCAAGCCATACGTCTACACACCATCTCAAGGAGAAGATGAGAGCACAAGCAAAGGATGTAAAGTGGCAAAATAACTTCTGACCACGTGTTTTCAGGATTTCCGCAAATTAGAGGGCTCTCCATCTGAGATCGGATCTCAGGAGCTGGCCTCACGTCTGGTGTTTCAGATGAAGACATTATTCACAGAGTGGACGCAGTGACAGCTTGTCTGCAGGCAGGAATACTATTTGCCAAGATTAACATCATCCCAACAATGAATGACTACCTGCAATAATGGTTTCATCTCTCACTACATGAATAATTAGGGGAGGGATTTGATACACCGACTATTCTGCCACAACCCTGCATCAAAGTTGGAATGGAGAGCAATCAATGGAGAAGCGATCATGTCTTATAGTGCTAAGAAGTGGTGGAGCTCGTGAGAGATAAGGTGGCAACTTCAGATGCAGATCGACGATATGCATAATTTCCTGGAAGTTTGACAATGTGCAGACTTTCTTCCATTTTTGTCCCAAACCAAGAGCATTATATCCCTTGCTGAAGCATTATAATCAGCATTATAAGGCAGTTTTTGGAGCATTATGGTTAGCATTATACGAACATTTTCGGAGCATTATCCGCTGGACCCTAGACATTGGAGAAAAGCACCAATTAGAGCAAAACAAAGCGACACATCACTCATTGAAAACATTTTCAAAAAGGAGCTGTTTTAACCGGGTACATTGTGGCCCGTCATTAAGAAGGCAGGCAAGATGGGCGTTAAATGCAGAAGACGTATTGCAAGACTTCATTTCAAAGGATTCTGCTCGAAAAGGTGGCAGATTCTGCTCGAAAAGCAGTGAAATTGGTAGAACCATACAAACCTTATGGCGAGCAATTCCTCGAATTCTGCTCCATTTCTTTATCCACATACCAAACATGCATGAAACTTACCAGAAAAAGTACCGAATTCTGCCAATTTTTCTGCCGGCAGAATCCGCCGGACTCTAGTACTAGTTTCCCATCTACCTTTGCCACGGTCGGGCGCACACTTCTTTTCCGTGCGGGTTGACGTTCAGCCTTTCTCTTCTTCGCCCCAGGTTCTTATGCTGGAAGTGGGAAAGGTGCTGGTACACTGTACATTGTACTTCGAAGTATTATTATTGTACTTCGAAGTATTATTATTGTACTTCGAAGTATTATTATTGTACTTCGAAGTATTATTATTGTATAAACATACATGTACATGTAGTACAGTGTGTACATGTACAGTTCGCCTCAGGAAATTTACAGCTGACCATTTATTATTTTGACTAGGGGAGTCCCAACAGGCCATGCTTATGCAATCAACGGAATTCCGCCACCTTGCAGTTGATTTTCCCCATTTCTCTCCTCATCAATCCCTACTTGTCTTTGTACATACATGTACATCTACTGTTCTTTCAATCAAATGAACCCCTCGATAGGCACATTGCCTTTGGGTCATTTCATAATAATAATGTACATGTACGTGTGAAAACCGTTTTTTTTCTCAATAAAGTCAAAACCTCACAAGCCACAGTCACAGGGCTAGCTACGGGTAGCGGCTTCCGCGATACCTGAGGAATGGTGTGCTGCTCCCTACGTGGGAGCTAGATCTTTTCTTGGCGACTTGTCAAGTGCGAACTCAAGTTAGTTGAAAAAAAAGACTTCGTTGCGTGAGACCTCGTGTGGTAACGAACGTACATGTATTTCGGGAACGAGACAAAGATTGTGTTTCCGCCCGGGATCGAACCGGGGACCTTTCGCGTGTTAGGCGAACGTGATAACCGCTACACGTCACTATGGAAACGACTGGCAATGCCGTCAGGGGCCCTAGGGGACCCAACTCCCAAGACTCCCAACGACTACGTCCCAAATCCACCCAGCTGGCAAAAACATTGACCAGATGCCAGGGCACTCCAGGCAACCTTTGGTGGATAATGCCGGCAGAATTTAGTACTTTTTGGTACATTTCATTCATGTTTCAATTGTTTGCCAGGCAGGCAGGCACAGTGGGTTGGTCAAATACCATGATTGAGATACGAGAGGTACCTGGTTCAAGTCCTGCCTGGGAGCGGTTTTTCCAGCCGTGCTGCTACCCACAGTCAACTGGGAACTTGTGGCCTGGCACAAGGGGTACATGGATGGAGCTAAGGCCACCCTTTCTTTTTTCGTTGTTTAACGTCCGCGCCCGCGTACCTTTTTGCCTCCGACCGGAAAAAAAACAAGAAAGTAGTAGTACCAATAATATGCGAAGTTGTAAATACATGATTGTGTAGTTTCACAGTGTGCCGATCATGACCTTAAACTTATAATCTTGCCTCCCGGGCATGCCTTTGTCTTGTGTTCTTTTCCCTTTTTTGTTGGCTTTTAAATATCGTACGGTGTGTCCTAGTAAAAATCCAGATGTAATGAATTCATGACATGCTAACTCCATGCTATGTACCTGTTTTGTTGGATTCATCAGGCATGTGCTCCAATGTACCATCAAAGAGTGTTGTTCTATGCCTGCAAGTGCCGTTAGACCCATATTATATCACATGCTTTACTGGTCAAAATGTTTGATTGGGGTTTCCAGTTTTTGGAATGGGCTTTTGTTTTTTTTCCGCCCTCCCGCGTACCTTTTCGCGAAAAAAAGGACGTTAAACAATGAATTAACAAAGGGTGGCCTAATGGGGTTTCTCGGCACTTGTGCCAGTGGTTGTGAGACTTTTCCACTCACCCACGGAGACTCCCTCGATTTAGGCTAAGGCCTGTGGAGAATCCATAAATACAAATACAAATACCCACACCATTAGGCGCTGCATCTGCCGCTAGGGTTTACCGGGTGTTAGCGGCCGTCGTGAGTTCCTTCGGGAACGGACACGATAATTCACTTAAAAAAAAAAATTTCACGGTTCGCGTGAGACTCGGCTGGAAGCTGTTGTGTCAACAAACGCAAACACACGAGGTAGGGTTTGTGACTTATCTTTCAGAAGACAAAGAGAAAAGACCTCTTGTCCATAGCAAAGGACAGGCAGAAAACCGTGATGCATGTGTGTACTAGTATGCGTACACACGCGAGTGCAAAAGGGCAATGCGTACAACAGGCAGAACATATATGGATACACCACGCCCCTTCTGAGATAAAAGACATATTTATCTGATCAAAACAAACAAAAACAAAAAAAACACAGCAGCAATGAAGTGCATAAGTAACAGCAACAGTCATAGGTCCGGCAGAAGAGCAGAAACAGAATGAGGACAAAGTCATCAGTCATAAGATTGTCCGCGTGTGGATATCACATTAAACGGGACATTCTGCTGCCGATGGCGATGACTGCGGCGTGGTGCAGGCTGTGCTGGGGCATGTACACCATGGGCAATAGAGGCAACTGGTGTCTGGCCTTGTGCCGCGTCTGGAGCATAAACAGTAGGGACGGCTGCAGCTGGCGGGGGTGTAGGAGAGACTCTTGGTCGGAGGAAACGGCGGTTGCGCCAATAGATGCGGCCGCTTGGAAGTTTCACCAAGTAGTCCCGGTGCTGACCAATGGCTACGATTGAGCCATGAGCTGACCACAACTTGGTCCGGGGATGCTGGATGTCGACATGTGCTCCAAGAGACAGACGAGGAAGGGACCGAGCAGAGCGGTTGTAATGCTGCTGAGTCGACTCCAGGTAGTGTGATGAGCGCTGGTCAACTTCATTAGCGTGTGTTTGCCATGCAGGAGCAAAGCTGGAATGGTGGGCAAACACAAAAGACGACAGAGGCCGGCCGTAGAGAGCTTGGGCTGGACTCTGACCAGTGGCGTTCGGGGTATTCCTCCACTCAAGCAACGCACGTTGAAAGGAATCCACGTCGAGGTCGCCATTACTAGTGGTCTTGTGAATTAGCGACTTCATGGCTTTCACGGCATTCTCGGCAAGCCCATTCGACTGCGGATAATGGGGAGAGGATTTAGCATGACGGATGTGCCAGGTATCACAGAACTTAGCGAACACATGGGACTGGAACTGAGGGCCACCATCACTGGTAAGTACCTCGGGGACACCAATGTCAGGAAACCAGCGGCGAAGAGACCGAATGACGTCTGCAGAGGAGGCAGTGCGTCCGAGCTTGGCAACGCAGGGCCAGCTGGTTAGTCGGTCCACATACACTAGATACTGCAGGCCTTCACACTCAAACAGGTCGGCGCTGCAATGCTGGAATGGCAGATCTGGAGCACGATCGTCCACACGGAGTGGCTCCTTCGGTTGTGAGGCGCTGTGCAGGCGGCACTTGTCACAACTGCGGACAACATGCTCGATGTCGGCTGACAATCGTGGCCAGAATACAATCTGCCGGGCACGGGACTTCGTGCGCGTCAATCCTTGATGGGATGCGTGCAGATCAGACAAGACACGCTGCCGGAGAGCGACGGGAATCAAGAGACGGGGTCCTTTCATCACTAAACCACTGTCAATAGAGAGGTGCTCGTGACCATTCCAGTACGGCTGGAGTGACTCAGGCATGAGGGACCTCTTAGCAGGGAAACCAGACACGATGAACTGAACTAGGCACTGGTAGTCAGCGTCGGCCTGGGCGGCGGAGCGGAGCGCGTGGTACTTCAGGCCACCAGACGTATCAAGCGTGCACACACGGATAGCAGCGCCCTGAGAGGCAGTACTCTCACCCAGTTCATCGTCAGGGCAGGGGTCGCTGACTGGATGGCGGGACAGAGCGTCAGGGAAAGCATGATCCGTGCCTTTCCGCCAGGTTGCGTGTAGCTGATAGGGCCGAAGTTTCAGGACGAGCCGCTGCAGCCGGGGATTCTCTATCTGATCCAAGTAGTAGGAGTTCAGAATAGGGATGAGCGGGCGGTGGTCGGTAATAACTTCAAACCGAGCACCGGAGAGATAGATCGAACACTTGCGTACTGCCCAGGTAACTGCAAGGCATTCAAGCTCAATGACGGCGTATCTCGTCTCGGCATCAGAGAGGAACCGGCTTCCACATTGGAGTATGCACCAGGTGTCGCCCTGCTGCTGCCACAAAACATAACCAAGTCCGTTCTTCACGGACGCATCAGTTTCTAACCGAAGCGGTCGGCCAGGCTGAAAGAACGACAATATCGGGGGAGAAGCCAGGGCAGCTTTGACGGCGTTAAACGCGTCAGTGTGTGCCGACTCCCACAGGAACACATTCGTGGACTTCAGCAACGGGCGAAGCGGGTCGCTGAGCTGTGCGATACGGGGCGAGAAATCACTACACTGGTTGATTAGCCCGAAGAATGAGCGGACGTCAGTGCGATTAACGGGTACTGGGAAATCAGTGATGGCTGCCGTCTTGTCACTGTCAACGGTGTAACCATCCGTGTTGATGTGGTAGCCACAGTAGTCGACTTCTGGTACGCCGAAGACGAATTTCTTAGCGCTCAGGGTAATGCCGTGCTGACGGGCGCGGAGCAGAGCGTCACGAACGTGGGTGAAATGAGTCGTCAGTTCCGTATCGTACACAAGACCATCGTCAACCACTTTTACGAAGTTGGTGAGGCGATCAAACGCTGCGTCGGTACGGGAGTTGAATACATCACCAGCCGAGACAAGGCCCTGCGGGTTGCGAAGAAACTGGTACCGCCCCCACGGTGTGATAAAGGTGGTGAGCGGCTTGGCATCGTCGGACAGCGGGACTTGCCAATAGCCATGTCGGGCGTCGAGCTTCGTGAAGTAGCGGGCTTTGCCGATGGCTGCCACTGCGTCATGTGGTGTACGAGCAGGATGGGTGGGTCTGCGTACCTGATCATTCAGCTTTCGAAGGTCCACAGTCAGTCGCATCTCAGTTGTGCCCTTCTTCTCAACGAGAACGATCGGATGGCACCACGCAGAGGGTTCTGTGACTGGCTCGATAATGCGATCATCGACCATACTGTCCAGTTGGGACTTTATCTGATCCCGGTAGGCAAACGGTATGGTGCGAGCAGTGCGGACGCAGCTGGGTTCTGCACCTGGTTCCAACTGAATGTCCATGGGCGGACCATCCATTGGTGGAAGCTGTGAGCTGTCGAAAACGTCGGCAAACTCTTCCAGAAGCTGCTGTTGGAGCTGCCGGGCCGTGTTGGGTTCAGTACGGGCAGAACGGACAAACACGGAGGGCCAAGAAGCAGGCAACAGATTCAAGGCACAGAGGCTTTGGCGGGATAGCAGTGCCTCATCCAGGCCTTTGTACACGTGCAGTGTGGTGTCGTGTGTGACGGAATCGAGCGTCAAGGTCGCCTGGATCTTGCCAAGACTGGTCAAGGGTGCGCCATCAGCGGTGCGCACAACATCCTTGTCGGTAGGCAGATTCTCAATAAAGTCTCCGAGGAGCTCGAGGTGTGCAGGGCCAATAGCGTTGATGTCGCTGCCGGTGTCAGGAAGCCAGCGCAAACTGGTTGGCTTGTCGGCAGACACGAGCTGCGTGTTGACGGCTATGGTAGCCCCTTCACGGGAGGACGCGGCACGTTGCAGCTTCAGCTGACCGACAGTCCTCTTAGAAGCAGACGGACACATGGATAAGAAGTGACCGGTGCGTTGGCAGCCATTGCATTTGCGATCCGCAGCAGGGCAGGGTCGCTTGCTATGAGCGGTGCGGCCACAGTTGGGACACTTGTCCGGCGAGGGCTTGCTGCCAGACTTGGTATCCTTGGCTGCGGGTGCTCGAGCTTGCTTGGATGCCATTCCTTTCTGCTTCTTATAGCTGGAACGAACGGCACTCACGGACGCGTCTCCAGTGGCCTGACTGGGGATACGTGACGAGGTTTGACTGGCAGCCTCCTCGGCGCGGCATAGGTCGACGCAGGTTGCCAGGGTTAG